AAAAAAAAAAAAAAAAAAAAAAAAAAAAAAAAAAAAAAGAAAACGAAACAGGAATGCGCAGAAAGGCGAAGAACACGAAATTTAAAAATTAAAGCTGAAATGAAATTTAAATTATATTGAAATGAAATTTAAATTATATTGAAATGAAATGTAAATTAAAGCTGAAATGAAATTAAGTTGAAATTAAATAAAACGGAAAAACGAAAGTGAACTCCTTTGCTTTTCTCTTAATAGACAAATGCAGGCACAAAATGGCTATTCCACTTGTTTAAAATATTTTAAAAAAAAAAAAAAAAAAAAAAGAAGCTAAAATTGGTAATATTTTGTTGGAACATAAATTAGGGAATTCTTAAATCGATGAAATGAGGAAATGATAAATCGATCAAGTGAGGAAATGGTAAATTGTTAAGTCGATAAAATGATAAATCGATGAAGTGAGCAATTGCTAAGTCGATAAAATGATAAATCGATCAGATGAAAAGTTACTCCATTTATGCCCTTTTTGCTTCAGGCAACAATTGCACATTTTGTTGCATAAAAAAAAAAAAGGGGGGGGGGCGAATGGACGCACGTGTGTGTACGGTGTGTAAATAGCAAGCGCAAAGGGGGGGGGATGCACCATAGGACGAATAAATGAACGAGCTGACGCAAAGATGAAGTTAAAAGTCGGTCATGTCGTGGGTGTGTACTATCGCATATACAGTTTAGCGAGTGTATAGAGTGAGAATTGGCTGAAAATTCAGATCACAATTTGCGCAAAACAAAAAAAAAAGGAGAGGGGCGCTCGAAATAGCGGGCTGGCATGGAAACGGAAAAAAAAGGCGTCCCACGGGGAGGAAGCGTCGTAAAGGTATGACGCGTACGAAGGGCATGAATGGCACGGACGACTGGGCAGAGACGTTAGGGGCGGCACGGCACAACAAAACGCCACGAACGTGCAGGTGTGCAGAATGTGTCGCTTGAGAAAAGCAGACCTTTTAAGTGCGTGAAAATCTTCGTCCTGCACCGCCGACAAAACAAAGTTGAAAGAAGAGTCGGCGGTTACAAATGAGGGTGGACAAACAACCAAGGCGGGAGAAAAAATTGGGTACAGATGTCACAATTACAATGAACTATCGCAGCGGGGTGTGAATGACACACACCATAAAAAATGGGGTCTACATGCATAAACACAGATTCTACATGCACACAAGGGTACATGCTACCGCGAATACGCGAATGGGTGGTCAGTCGGGAGTCTCTACTATGTATGCAGCTCCTGCGATAGGGGTACAACGCAAATGAACGTTTCATAAATGGCCACTCGACGGATAGGTCAGGCTCGAGGAGGGACTATTCACAGGCGCGTAAGCAGGTGCACGAGGATTCAGTTACATAAGTATTCACCCATAAATGTGCATCTCATACACGTTGACTTTTCGCGTTAGCATGTGTACACATATCTACGGCTAAGTGAAAACTGTACGACGATATATTTTGGTGTACGGCGAGTAAGAAATGGATCCTATGAGTTTCTTCTTTTCCCTTTTCAAAATCCGCACAAAGGGGATAAACCAAAAAAAAAAAGGGGAGGCAAAAGAAAGCAAGGAAAGCACTGCAGGTAAAGAGGTTGAAGAAGGGGCAGGTGTGTTTCCAAAATGAAGGATGTAATAAATGTACAAAAGTGGGATGAAAAAAAAAAAAGAAAGAAAAGAAGAAAAAAAGAAGAAAAAAAGTAAAGGTAAAAAAAAAAAAAACACAGCACATATGATTGGCTAACTCAAATAAGCACAATATGGTATTCCTCCTCACGACACTGTGATGCGTACGCTTGTGCCAATTCCAATTTTGTTAGTAACAGTGAAAATGTGCTGATGCGGGAAAAAAAAAAGATCAAAAACAAAAAACGAAGAAAAGAAGACGTTATCTAGCAATTGTGAAAATATATATAAAAAAAAAAAAAGTTTCGATATACCCCCCTTCCATTCCTGGGTGTATAATACAATTTTGAAAGACGAACTCTGTAGGATACAAAATGCTTTTCTCCATGCATAAGTACATGCACATCAACGTATGAGGTGATCATATGGATGAATCAGCGGCCGAGGGGGGGAGCAAAAAAAAAAAAAAAAAAAACATAACATTCCTGATTACGTATTTTGTTCTTTCTCTTTGCTTAGTGGAATAGTGGCACGCTGCATATTATATGTACACATCTTTGCGCAAAGGTAGAAAAGGAAGAAATACAGGAAGGGCCCAAAAAATAAATAACGCTATATGCGACAAATTCATGGGAGTCCCTAATGTGCATACACTCACACCAGGCTAGAACACATCACATGGGGTTATGCCAACGTATAAAAAAAAAAAAAAAAAAAAAAAAAAACAGCTAAAAAAACAGCCAAAAAAATAGCTAAAAAAATAGCTAAAAAAAAAGAAATAAAAAATAAAGATAGTATTTTTTTTTTTTTCTGCTACCGTTTGTAACACACACTTCGCACAATTTCTACCAGTCGCTGTGCTCACCGTACTGAAACACACTGGGCGGAAAGTCTAGGGACCATTTTTTTAGGGGAACTGTGCAGAGGATATTCATTGGCACGTAAACATTTTAATATGTTTTACAAACCAACCATGGCACAAATCGTTATAAAGAGAAGCACACTGTTCAATACATTTGTGATGTCCCCCTTCTAGGAAATCCTTTCACCTTAAGACATTTGCCTCATTTTCATGGACCATTTCGAAAGGGAAGCAAATATACAAATATAAGCATATGCTTAGCTGCACACCTACAAGTTTAACTAATATACATTTTATTTTTAAAGCCAGGTCAGGCGCTCGGTAGCTGAGATAGGGCTGCTGGCAAAATTTTCTTTTTTCCTTCTTTTCGCAAATGTACTCGCCCTGTGGACACATGTCAAATAGGCAGTGCGTTAAAAAAAAAAAAAGGTAAAGTAGTTGACGTTAATGTTAGAATTTTAGGGTTCCTCCTTTTTCAATGTCACGGAGTAGTTTGACTGTACACCTTGTGAAAATCTCCCTCCCCCCCGTGGTAGTCGTGAATTACAAAAGTGACTTTGTTCCTTTTTTCTCATGAAATCAAGCAAAAGGTTAAAAAGATGAATTAAAATAAAACAATGTAATAACGTAATAACATGGTAGACGGGAAGGGGGGGACATCGGTGTAGGGTTAGCGTTGCTCAAAATGGAGACGCTCCCACAGGCGTGTAGAAAGGGGCCCCCCCTTCTCACGACGTTATCATCTTGTAAATATCCGATTGGCAATTTTTTAACCTTTCAATAACGCCGTTATCGCAGAAGCTCAGGCGAAATGAATGCTTAAAACATTTGTACAGCTCTTCTGTGTGCGGCAGGCATTCCCGAGATATGCTGTAAAAAGGGGGAGAGACACAAGGGAGGTTTTTTATTTTTTTATTTTTTTGGGAGTGATGTGGTGAAGTTTGCACAGGTAACGTAAAACTTGCTGTTGCACTTCCGTTCATTTGATTCATTTTTTTTTTCGCTCCTTACATTTGCGTTGTCGTATTTATCGCCCTGTCCAGGTCGCTGGCGCACCTTTCCTTCGCATTGCTGCTGCGCCTGTTCGACTGCATACACATTTTGTAATCGTTGTAATCCTTGCGGGCTGTCAACGTGTTCTTCGGACAGTAAAAAAAAAAAAAAAAAAGAAAGAAAAACAATGTGAGCGTACGTTTTATAGCATGTTGGGCGATGTCGCCGACTTGCAGATGGACCGTATACACAGTCGCGCCAGATCGAACGTATGCCATGCGCCTTTTCTTGCGAGCCGATACAGGGGTACGCTGTTCCTTCTTAAAAAGGCATCAACAAATGTTCGTAATCCTTCAGAGGCATAAACATGTGCGCCTGATTACATGTCCATTCAGGAATTCGATTTTACGCATCCCTACTTCGCAATTTTCAAATCTGTTCCAATACGCGTGGCACTTACCACACCCATCCTTACTCTCTTCCGTGGAACAAGCACACGCGCAGGGTAAAAATGGCCTAATGGTTGCTTGTTAGTAATATGCACTGTGATGCTAGCCTATTAGCCCAAACGCTAACAGCTGGACGTTTAACAGAGCACAATCCCCACAATATCAAGATTGGAGGTTTGCATTCCTTCTGTGAAAATGTTAAATGTACAAACAAAAAAAAAAAGAGAAAAATTCTTACGTCACGTAAGAAAGGAGCGGGGGGGGAACAAAAAATGAAAAAAAAAGTTACATTAGCTAGTTGAAAAAAAAAAAAACAAACGGAAAAAAACACCTGACCCCGTGCAGGCAAAATGTGCTTTAAATTTACCAACTTATTTTTCACCCATTTGTTCACGTATGCTTCCTATTCTTGTTCGCTTCTCTGTTAACGAACGAAAAACCGTTGTGTAGGAGAAAACAAAAAAAATAAATTAAAAATCGAGCTATTCGCAAAATTGTAATTTTTTTTATTCACGTAAAACGGGGGCACATGGGTATGGTGTCCCTTCATGTCCGAAAAGGAGAATTTGTTTTTTTGCACGCAGGGGGAAGGAACTAATATCCCCAACAACCGGGAAGTTGCGCGCTCACGCATGAACGGTATTCCACTCCGTACACATACATACCTACACACATGTGTAGTTGAACTTGCGGCATACTCGAAATAGTATTTCCTTGTGACAAACGGCCCTAGTTAGCGCGGCCAGTTCCGCCCATGTGTACACACACATTTTTGTAACCTCTCAAAATGGGTGTACATATTTCGATGGGGGTGGATATGCAAATGGGCCTGTATGAGCAATACTGACATGAACCTTTCAAGAATTTCCATGTCATCATCAGCGGGTGGGATATAAAGCAAAACAGAACATAATAAACTTTATCTATTTCTTCCCTTTGTTACTGCGGCCCCACCCTACCTGTATTAATTATTCCCCTGGTAGGACGTCAAAAATGTAAGGGAGTTTTTATTCACCTTTTGCAGCTTCTCGTCCATGCACTTCTCATAATTCTGCAAAGGAGTAAGGAAAGACAAATAAATAAGTTTCGTTACTTTTATATATATATATTTTTTTTTTTTTGCGGCCAAATGGCAGAAACGGTGGTCAAGATAAAAACTGAGTTTCACATTTGAGGGATCATTCCAGTTTACACATCAAGCTGGATCTCATGTCTTCATTCCATGTTAAAAAAAAAAAAAAAATGCCTTACTATTTTTAACGGTTGGCACTGATTTATGCCATCGCTGTCGATCTGCTCATTTCCGTGGGGTTGCAAATTTTCGTTCAGGCACTTGAAAAATTTATCTGACGCGGACTCGCACCCTGCTCGCGCAACGTGGGTAGTAAAAAATTAGGGGAGTGAGCATATGTATAGAGGCATACGTACACGTGGCTTCAACCATTTTAACGGTGTGTGCGTGCAACTGGTCCGATTTCTTAAAGACGCATCCGGACGCAAAGAAAAAAGTGAAACGGAAAAAGGAAAAAGACAAAAAAAGAGGCCTCTCACTAATACAAAGCCGCACAACCAGTTCTTATATTTCTCACTTTCACATGGAGCAACAAATATTTACCTTTTAACACCGCGGGGAAGTACGCTTTCATCGAATCGATCCCGTTACTCATTTGTTCGTTTAAAAAAGTGGAAAGAGGGGAAGGAAAAAAAAAAAAAAATTCGCCTCTTCGAAATACGTATTCTTCTTTTTTACCTTGGTGCTTGTGTTCTTTCTTCTTTATATGTAGGGAAAGGAAATGAATTATGATTGCCTTTAAAAATTACGCTACCTTCAACTGCCTTGCTTAGGGCATTTTTTTTTTTCACTAGATTTGCTTTAAACGTGGGTTGCTTCGTTTGTATTTTGTATTTTGCGTACCTTTGCTGTTTTTTCTTCTCCGTTTCAGGGAGGGAGAAGTTTTTAAAGCAACTTAACATGGGTTGAGAATTCTACACAAATGTGGTGTTTCTCCTCAAGTGAGTTAACAAACACTGGAATGTCAAAGGGGGGGAACACAAAGAGGACCCAGTTTTTATTCACTCTCTATATTAAAATAATAACAGTGCACATAAATTCATGCAGATGGAGTAGTCCACTAATATGTTAGTGGTGTCATAGTTGGGGCATTTTTTTCGGCAAGGTTGCATGTGGGTACGAGAAAAAAAAAAAAAAAAAAAAAAAAAAAAAA